AACAATAAGAAAAAGACCTAAAGGCAAATGCCTACCTTCTCAGTAAAGTGCTCAATGCCTAGATTACCTAGACAGAGCAAAAACCCTTGACGATGTTAATTTCCACAAAAGGATGGCCCCAGTCAAAACCCAAGTTTTCTGCTCACGTGATCTTCAAATGACATTCAAGTCACAAGAAGATCACATGAGCAGGAAACTCCGGTTATAACAAGGGGCCTCTTTTGATATATATGTATGTTTTATACACAAAAAGATGCTGAAAAGTTCTCTCCCAAACCAACTTCACAAAAATCAGTATTCTTATGTTAGACTATTTAAATTTAGATAATAGGAACCTTTCAGCTCCTCTTATACATAAATTACACAGACTAGCTGAATTACTCATCAACAATGGATACATCATAAAGACTTTGATCACAGCTGGTCATAATTTCAGCAAAAAGATTCTTTCGTTCTAATAAGCAGGTCCATGAAATTTCTTCTATAAAAGGTAGAAATCATTATCAATCAAAAATTTGTTTTTATCATTATAGTTATTTCCCAGTTATATATAGTAATTTCTTTTGTGACTCAAGCTCACTCATGACCTCAAATGGAACACATATATATGATACACTAGCAGTATAGCCCGGCGTCGCCCGGGGATGTAACAGTAAGAGATAGATCAAGTATCGACCATCATAAAGACTGAAAAATAAAATTGACAAAGATTATTGTTTAAGGTTGATGAACACGCATGTCTTAATTAGTTTTTTTTTGTTTTTTTTTATGAATTGGTCAAACCCAAACTCAAACAAAAACATTGTTTTCAATCGTTATGTGTCTACCGATTGAATAGAATTTTATTATAAACAATTGTCTTGTAAATGGAATTTTTAAAGCATTCTGAATGTAAAAATAAAGAAAAAAGTGTGCAAGACAATAAGAAACACTACCTGCCAAAAAAAGTGAAGTTTTGTTGAAATCGGTTGAAAAATGTAGGAAATCCAATCCCATATATAAACAAACACACACAACAAACCTGGGTTTTATAATAAGTATAACTTGATATGAGTTGTCCCTCTTTCATTCCGCGAAAGCGATGCCTCTTAATCATTTTTTCAAATTGATTCCATGCAAAAACAATTGTGTTTTTCCAATTTTTGGTGCTGTCAGAACCACCGCAAAGTAATTTTACGTAGTCCTGTGAAGTTTTGTTGAAATCAGTTGAAAAATGTAGGAAATCCGATCCAATATATAAACGTACAGACACACACACACACAACCTGGGTTTTATAATAAGTATGATTACTACTGAAGATGGAAAGAGAGTTGGTTACTTTTAACACTCCAGAAAGTACCTGACTCCTCCTACCCAGATTGTAGCAATGAAAGTCACTTGTCGTGTCAAACAAAATGCTCATGTGTTGCATATATTCTCTGCTGAAAGTAAAAATCTGAGCTGCATCCTAAGCTTGTTTATTTTGCACATAAATTTGTTATCTGACCAATGGTGGGTCTCTTGGGTGCCTATATAAATCACTAGAGTTTAATGTCTAGCTGAGTTTCTGCAAGGGTTATATGTGTTGGTGTGTTAGCGTCTGTTTGGAGATCATTGGTGAGTTGGTGACCATTAGTTTTGACTGTCAGTGACCTTGCATGAATTTGTACAATTACAAGCTATTTTGGCATCAGCAAAAATGAACACAATTAAAGAGCTGAGTTGAGTTACATTTACATCATCAGAAGCAGTGACATTCCTCAGCAGCAAACCATCTGTGTGTGCAGCCATTACCATCAACGAAAAGGAATCCAATGCTAAATTTGATCACGCAAATAAAGTTTGGACTGTGGTGTGGAAATGGGAAGACAATCAGGCTCCAAAAGTACTGAGAAACAAGACACCTGAATACCCTGTGACCAAACTGGCATGAATGGAATATGAACAAGTGCGGCAACTTGGGTTGAATCATGATTGGTTGCTGCCATATCACAAAGAAGAGTTTAGGCCCCCTTGGAGTCTAATCTCACTAGTGGCTATCCTCCAGGAGAACAAAAATAAGGTATGCACAGTTCTAGACTACAAAGAGCTAAGCACATCGACACATGTATGGCAAATGTAGTCATCTGTGAACACAAGTTGAGAGAATGGAAGCAAAAAGGTGATAATATCTGTCTGGCAATCTTTAACTTTTGTGCACATAAAGAAATGGTATGTCAAAAGGATGTTTTTCCCTTGACTCTGCTATTAATTTAACTACCTTCACTTGATTATTTTAAAAAGTGATGATTAGAATTGCAATAAAACCTAAATATATAACGAAAGTGAAAATAAATACGTTTTTTTTATCTTGAGAATTTAGAACAAAAATATTTAACACCATTTTCTATTACATTGTTTACTTACAAGAATAATTTTATATTTACAACATTTTAAAAACTAATACAATTAGTACTAATGCAATGTAATATATATTATTTTGGAGTTTATAAAGACAATTATTTTATTCATAAATTTATAGACATTTACTAAATTATTAAAATATGTGAACCAGTTATAAGGAAATCCTTTTATTAGTAGAGGTTTATTCCTTGTTTCCTATTTAGGATTTGATTTTTGGTTCCTTCTAAAGTTTTTTTCATTCTCTTTCTCTCATAGTCTTGTGTCTCAGTGGCATTATCACCTTACTTGGGGTGAATAATATCATTAAAAAAAAATATATATATATATATATATATATATATATATATATATATATATATAATTATAAAAGTAGACACTGAACTCAATATCCAGCGGCGACATCCATGCTTATATGCAATCATCAGGCCATATGTGTTGTGTTTCTGCTTGACTAGATATACAGATCAGTAATGTATTGTAGGTAGTCGATTGTATTTTTCTAATGGTTATTTTGGTAGGCAGTAACATTTATGTTTTTATTATTCTAGAAGCTATTGGGTGGAAATAATTGAGGATCTGGATTCAGTATTTTTTTTTTTTTGGCTATTTATAGTGATGTTTGTTAACTTTTTAATTTATTATTGATTACTTTATTGTTGGTTGTTATTATTATGTTTACTTGGATTTATGTGTGCATTTATTTACTTATTTATTGGTTTGGATTAATTTATTAATTTATTTTTCCTTATTTAGTTTTGTTTATTCTTGTTCATCTTTAGTTTTCTAAACATGAGGCCCAGGTTCAGATTTCACCATGGTCAATGTCTTATTGAAAATATTGGCGTACATTTGGAAAACACATGAAAAACACACCATGTGTTGACACAAACTTTTTTTTAGTGAAATTGGGTAGACAAAGCTGTTCAGAAGTCATCTATGGTTGTACTAGCAAATAGTCACAAGTCATTGTGACAGAGAGTTTGAGCATACTTATTCAATTGTTGATCATGTGATATCTCTTGCAGAAACTGTAACTCAGGTCTGCTTAAGACAGTTACCATATAAACCACAGGTTGGCTGTGTGTGTTCAAGAAACACAAATATGCCTGAGCAGATGTCTGCAACAGGGATTAGCTAATCGCCATAACAGATGGGTGAACTCAGAAATTAATATATGTGTATGTATGCATAATTAAATATAGCTACATATATTATGTGTGTGTGTACTTGAATTCATATACACATATATGCAAATGCAATTAACTGCAATGCACTCAAAAGCCTGCAAATATATTTATTGATATATATATATTTGAATCTATACATGCATATCTGTAAACTGTACATTCTGCTGTAGATGTGCATCTAGATGTATATTTACTCAATGTATTTAACTGTATGAACATTTAGAATGCATATATGTACACACTAAAATGAATCAACATATATATGTGTTTGTTAATTCTCAGATTGAGTCTTTCTTGAGGTAAAAAATAAAAAAATGGCGTAAAAGTTAAAAAATTTTAAATTTGCACTGAAACAGACATTTCAATATTATTTACACTGGTGGGAGTATGTAGGCTGTTCAGAAACCAAGACTGACAGAAGAGATGGAGTGGTGGGTGAGAATCTCTTTTAACATATAAATCTTCTAATAAATTAATTATACCTACATTTACATAATAATATGTATTGCATGTGTGTGCGTCAACCTATATACAGAAAGATAGTTGCATGGTTTCAATTTGACTGGCAAGGCAAGAGTACACAAAATCAACTGTCAGAAGTACGATTGCGGGGAGCATTGACTTGCTTTGAAAATCAGCATTCAGAATGCCAACTTTAACATTCGAATAGGCAGGCTTAGACAATTATATCTTTCTGGAGAAAAGTTTACCCAGTAGGTGTTTATTACAACCAACCATTTTATTAGATATACAGCAAATTTTTTCTCACCTGTTAATTTAGGCTACATACATTCTAGGACTAAGCATTTCATTATTATTATTATTGTTATAGTAGTAATTATTCATTATTCTTCAAAAAATTTCCAGCCATTCCTATTCTTGCAACCATTCTAATTAAAGCACACTGTACCTGTACTACTGAACACAGGAAGTAAGTGCACAGATACACTGATCCCAGGCGAGAGTGCACAGATACACTGATCCCAGGCGAGAGTGCGCAGATACACTGATCCAAGGCGAGAGTGCGCAGATACACTGATCCCAGGCGAGAGTGCGCAGATACACTGATCCCAGGCGAGAGTGCGCAGATACACTGATCCAAGGCGCAGAGTGCGAGATACACTGATCCCAGGCGAGAGTGCGTGAGATACACTGATCCAAGGCGAGAGTGCGAGATACTGATCCAAGGCGAGAGTGCGAGATACACTGATCCAAGGCGAGAGTGCTTAGATACACTGATCCAAGGCGAGAGTGCGTGAGATACACTGATCCAAGGCGAGAGTGCGCGATACACTGATCCCAGGCGAGAGCGCGTAGATACACTGATCCAAGGCGAGAGCGTAGATACACTGATTAAGGCGAGATCCCAGATACACTGATCCAAGGCGAGAGTGATTCGGCGAGAGATACACTGATCCATGTTACACTGATCAGAGGCGAGATACACTGATCCAAGGCGAGATACACTGATCCAAAGGCGAGAGTGCGCAGATACACTGATCCAAGGCGAGAGCGTAGATACACTGATACACTGATCCCAGATCCCAGGCGAGAGTGCGCAGATACACTGATCCCAGGCGAGAGATACACTGATCCCAGGCGAGATACACTGATCCCAGGCGAGAGTGCGCGATACACTGATCCCAGGCGAGAGTGCGAGATACACTGATCCCAGGCGAGAGTGCGAGATACACTGATCCAAGGCGAGAGGCGCAGATACACTGATCCAAGGCGAGAGTGCGTAGATACACTGATCCCAGGCGAGAGGCGGATACACTGATCCAAGGCGAGAGGCGAGATACACTGATCCAAGGCGAGAGGCGCAGATACACTGATCCCAGGCGAGAGTGCAGATACACTGATCCCAGGCGAGAGTGCGGATACACTGATCCCAGGCGAGAGTGCGCATACACACTGATCCAAGGCGAGAGCGAGATACACTGATCCCAGGCGAGAGTGCGCAGATACACTGATCCCAGGCGAGAGTGCGCAGATACACTGATCCCAGGCGAGAGTGCGCAGATACACTGATCCAAGGCGAGAGTGCGCAGATACACTGATCCCAGGCGAGAGTGCGCAGATACACTGATCCAAGGCGAGAGTGCGCAGATACACTGATCCCAGGCGAGAGATACACTGATCCCAGGCGAGATACACTGATCCCAGGCGAGAGTGCGAGATACACTGATCCAAGGCGAGAGTGCGCAGATACACTGATCCCAGGCGAGAGTGCGAGACACACTGATCCCAGGCGAGAGAGATACACTGATCCCAGAGGGCGCAGAGTGATCCAAGGATACACTGATCCCAGGCGAGAGTGCGCAGATACACTGATCCAAGGCGAGAGTGAGATACACTGATCCCAGGCGAGAGCGAGATACACTGATCCCAGGCGAGAGGCGTAGATACACTGATCCCAGGCTAGAGTGCGAGATACACTGATCCCAGGCGAGAGTGCGCAGATACTGATCCCAGGGCGACTGATCCCAGGCGAGAGATACACTGATCCCAGGCGAGAGTGCGAGATACACTGATCCCAGGCGAGAGTGCGAGACACACTGATCCCAGGCGAGAGTGCGTGATACACTGATCCCAGGCGAGAGAGTGCCAGATACACTGATCCAAGGCGATACACTGATCCAAGGCGAGAGTGCGCGCAGATACACTGATCCCAGGCGAGAGTGCGCAGACACTGATCCCAGGCGAGAGTGCGAGATACACTGATCCCAGGCGAGAGGCGAGATACACTGATCCATGGCGAGTGCGAGATACACTGATCCCAGGCGAGAGTGCGCAGATACACTGATCCCAGGCGAGAGTGCGAGATACACTGATCCCAGGCGAGAGTGCGATACACTGATCCCAGGCGAGAGTGCAGATACACTGATCCAGGCGAGAGGCGCAGGATACACTGATCCCAGGCGAGAGGCAGATACACTGATCCCAGGCGACACGGATACACCGATCCCAGGCGAGAGTGCGCAGATACACTGATCCCAGGCGAGAGGCGAGATACACGATTCCAGGCGAGAGTGCACAGATACACCGATCCAAGGCAGAGGCGCAGATACACTGATCCCAGGCGAGAGTGCGCAGATACACTGATCCCAGGCGAGAGGCGAGATACAATTGATTCCAGGCGAGAGTGCGCAGATACACTGATCCCAGGATACACTGATTCTGGGCGAGTGCAGGATACACTGATCCCAGGCGAGAGTGCGCAGATACACTGATCCCAGGGCGAGGCGCAGATACACTGATCCCAGGCGAGAGTGCAGATACACTGATCCCAGGCGAGAGTGCACAGATACACTGATCCCAGGCGAGAGTGCGCAGATACACTGATCCCAGGCGAGAGTGCGCAGATACACTGATCCCAGGACAGAGGCGAGATACACTGATCCCAGGTGAGAGGCGCAGACACACTGATCCAAGGCGAGAGTCCACACTGGATCCAAGGCGCAGAGGCGAGATACACTGATCCAAGGCGAGAGTGCGCAGAGATACACTGATCCCAGGCGAGAGTGCGCAGATGGCACTGATCCAAGGCGAGAGTGCGAGATACACTGATCCCAGGCGCAGAGGCGCAGATACACTGATCCCAGGCGAGAGTGCGCAGATACACTGATCCCAGGCGAGAGTGCGAAGATACACTGATCCCAGGCGAGAGTGCGCAGATACACTGATCCCAGGCGAGAGTGCGCAGATACACTGATCCCAGGCGAGAGTACACTGATCCAAGGCGAGAGTACTCTGATCCAAGGCGAGAGTACACAGATACACTGACCCTAGAAAGGCGTGTACAGATACACTGATTCTAGGTAGGGGTACACATATAATTTGATTCGCGGTAGGAGTGCACAGATACACTGATCATTGACAAAAGTGCACAGATTCACAGATCTAATGCAGCGGTGCCAATCCATATTGGAATTATGCTAGTACATATATAAAAATCTATAATATAGCTATATTTAGAATTAAACATGAAATCAGAATTTCTGTTTACCAAGCTATATAAACCAACAGAGTCTGCTTTCTCTATTATCATCAATATCTATTAACATAAAAACGACAGTTTCAGTTTGATATGGTACACTATAGCTGCATCTTTGGCTACTCCAATGCACCATCAAATTTCAGTATCACACTTTTCATCATCTGTTAAAAAATTTCCCAGATAGTTAAATCTTTGCATTTGTTTGATTTTGGTATCCCCAATTTGTAATGTGCATTTTGGGTTGTCCCTTTTGTTAACAACCATGTGTTCTATCTTCTTGCAGGTAATGTTTAATAGCATTTATTTTACCCAAAGTATTTTTGTTCAAAGTAATCTTCCTTATGGGGGAAATTTAATTCAGCATTTTACCATTGATCACACAAATCATAGCATTCATTTCATATCTAAATTCAACCAATGAATGTGCCAGGCTCCTTACTTATTGATCTACTCTTGTGTGTATGCAAGTTTACATTAAAGTGGATCAAAAAATTCATAGCCTGAAAAAAAGGTATTCGCAGAATTTTGATCTGATATTTTCACTGTATAATGTTTGATCAATGGGATTTATATTCACCACTGAATTAAGTGCCTCAACAAGAAGGATATTATGTTGAAAAATAAATTTGTTGCGTAAAATTGTAATTGTTTTGATAAGATTTCCTCTTTGGTGTATAGACTTTATGAATTTAAGCGCAGTACTAGATTGGCGCCAACATCTCAATATTTAAATTTTTGAAATGGTGAGATGTAATCCTAACTTCTATGCTAACAGATTCTTCTCTTGTACTTCTCGCTTGTGGAACCCTCTTCTGGCTTCTTGCTTCCCAGCCAACATTGTTCTCCAGAAATTTAAATGCAATATCAATCGTTATTTTCTATCATCTTAATTCTTCTTCTTTTATTGTCCTATCTCCTTAATAGTATATTTTTCTCATATTCTCATACACTCAGTATGATTTTGCATCTTAGTGACTTTATAGCCTTGCTTGAGGTGAAATGATGAAAAACAATAAATAAAATAAATGCTTTTCTTTTTCTTCATTAGACCATGGATTATTGCTGTGCCTATACTTTCATATATATGTGTGTGTATACACACACACTCAGACAAGAATTAACATTACACCACCCATTGTCATCTTAGACAATGTCCCGAATGTGTGTGTATTAAGATACATATGGAACAAGAGAGACATACACACATAGTCAGAGGCAAGAAATTAGTAAAGTTTTAGTGGCTTTACTGCTTTGTTTGGTGCGAAATGATTAATAAAAAAATAAATCAAAATAAATGCTTTTCTTTTTCCTCATTAAACCATGGATTTATTGATATATCTATACTCTTGTATATGCGTGAGTGTATGCATATGTATATGTGTGTGTATACACACACACACACAGAAGAAGAAAACGTTGTTACACTACTCATTGTCAACTTAGACAATGACTAGAGAGAGAGAGAGAGACACACACACGCAAATCTATTAAAAGCAAATAGGTTTCACTCCACATCATCAGAGGCAATAAAGTACACTTTAGATAAAAATATATATATATATATATGTGTGTGTGTGTGTGTGTGTGTGTGTGTGCACAGTTGCTTATGCAGTCTTGAACAAACAAACTTACTAGGAGAATTGAATATATTTACTTACAAAGATAAAAAAAAGACATGGAATAAGTAAAAACTAAGTAAAGAAACATGGCAACAACTAAAAAAAAATCCAAGCATGTTTGAATGGAGGAGGGGGAAGGTGGGGGGTGTAGTAAAACCAATGAGCAATTTCTATTTGGCATGTAACATTAAGAATTAAAAAAATAAATCACTTCTCCATAAAACCCTTCCCTACCCATAGACGTACCATACACGAGAAAAGTCAATGTAAATACATACCTCGCTACGAAATCGAACCCCCAACCTATCTTTTAATGCCACACACAGAGACATATGTGTATGCGCATGTGAACATTTGTATCAAAGAAAGGAAGAAAGCGCGTGCATGTGTGCAACCCCCCCACTGTTCACTGTGGACGGTGGAATCTGGTTGACTTATCACGATAAAGATAGAAATGCAATGCACTAAAAGTGCGTGTGGTACACCTGACACGTTGATGGGGGATAGAGAGAGAGAGAGAGAGAGAGAGAGAGAGACATACACACACACACACACACACGCAATTGGCAAACCTGACATGGTTTCTTTCGCACTCTCTCAAATTCACCCAATTAAAAACAGATGAAGACAGAAAATAGAGATAGGGCAATTAAGTTTAGTTTTAATCTTTCAAAGTATAAATATATGAACAGATAGATATACAAAACACATATAGGCAGATATACAGAATAAATATAGATAGATATGAACATGCAGACACAGATATAGATAGATAGATAGATAGATAGATAGATAGATAGATAGATAGATAGATAGATAGATAGATAGATAGATATAAAAGAACAGAGATAGATATGAACATACTGACATAGAGATGGATACATAGATATGGAACAGACTTAGATAGATATAAACATACTGATATAGATATGGATAGATAGATAAATATGAATATACTAACATAGTGGTGAATAGATAGATATGAACATGCTGACACAGATATAGATAAATAGATAGACAGGTATATATATATATATATATATATATATATATGAACTTACTCACATAGAGGTGAATAGATAGATATGGAATAGACTTAGATATACAGAACAAATATAGATAGATAGAGATGAACATACTGACATAGTGGTAAATAGGTAGATATACAGAACAGATATAGATAGATATGAACATGCTGACACAGATATAGATAAATAGATAGACAGATATAAAGAACAGATACATATATATATATATATATATATATATATATATATATGAACTTAGTGACATAGAGGTGAATAGATAGATATTGAATAGACTTAGATATACAGAACAAAAATAGATAGATAGATAGATAGATAGATAGATAGATAGATAGATAGATAGATAGATAGGAACATACTCATATAGATATGGATAGATAGATATGAACATACTGACATAGTGATGAATAGATAGATATACAGAACAGATATAGATAGATATGAACATACTGATATAGATATGAATAGATAGAGATAGATAGATATGGAATAGACTTCGATATAGAGGACAGATATAGATAGCTATGAATGTACTGACATAGGTATAGATCGATAGATAGATATGGAATGCTTCAATAGGAGATAAATATACAGAATAGACATAGGTATAGATAGATAGATATGAACATACTGAGATAGAGAGAAAAGAAACATACTGGCATAGATATGAATAGGCTTGGATAGATGTACAGAGATATACAGAAAAAAATGTAGTTGGCAGATAAGTAAGAGAAGCACAATAACATTAGCAAACCTCATAGAATTTTTACTGCACTCTCCCAAATTCACCCAAAGAGAAAGAGATGAAGACACAAAACAGAGATGAAGAAATTATGTTCATTTTTCAAAGTATAAACATATGAATGATAGATTAATATGAACCAGTGGAGTAATGGATAGCAGCTTGGACTGAGGAATTGGAGAGCTGAGTTCAAGTTCCAGTCGAATCCATTACATTCACTTACGTGCTAATACCCTTGGGAAAGGTGTGAATCCTCTTCTTCTCCCTCCAGCTATGGGTAAATAGCAGGACAAACTAGGTTCTATAGCCTTCAATGGCAACTGGCCTAGGAGAAGGACAACTCTGAATTCAAGACCTGCAGAGGGTCTTTGGGGGACCCTGTGGCACGTAGTGCACCAGGTCTTTGTATTCGGCCCTTCAAAAAATGTGGATGGTCCTGCATGAAACCTTCACCACTATAATCAAATCTCCCATGCTGTTGTCGGGCTGTCGGTTTCCTAGGAACTGACCTGCTTGATGGGAGAGTCGAGCGAGAGTATATATATATATATATTGGAAAATATCATATATAAATTTATATATATCAAATAATGTTAGGTAATTGAATGAACAAGTGTGACATTTAGTTTTATATCTACACCTACCCCTACACATAAGTCATTTAAGATGATGAAATGGGTTACAGAGAATTTTTCCACTTTGTCAATTAACTTCCTAGTTATATATATATATATATATATATATATATGTCAAAATATCTTATCCTGCTAAACTTATTTCTGCCTATTCAAATGTCTCTCCAGATAGATAGACAGATATGAAGAGACTGATATATAAATTCATCTAAATTACACAAAAATGAAAATAACACTGACATCTCATTATCTCATTTTAACAGATATATTTTCCAAAATTACACAAAAATATCTTTAAATACTAAAGAGTAAATTTATTAAAAAAAAAAAAAAAAAAAAAATCGCCATTGGCTTCAACCACGCCCTCCAGATGACTTTGGAATCTCCTGCAATTCTTCTGGACGGTCTCCTTGTTTAAGTTGGTGAATGCTGCCATAATCCTTGCCTTCAGTTCACATTTGGTGTTATAAGGAGTTTTGTTGGTCTGTTGCTCAACTGCACCCCCGACATAATAATCAAGAGGATTGCAATCTGGGAAGTTAAGTAGCCAGATGTAAGGGGTGATGTGGCTGCAGAAATTGTCTGACACCCATGATTGGGTTCTCCAGTTTCTGTAGCATGGTGCAGAGTCCTGTTGCCAGACATAGGGCCTTCTAGCAGCCATCCTCATGATCCTGTTGAGTCTGAGGCCTTCATCAACAAATTTGGGATTTCTTTTCTTATCAGAACAATCAGATTGAGTTTTCCAAGCTGCCGTACCTTTATAATCACCATTAGACTCATCTAACTCTTTCCAAATACTCTGCACTGTCCCCATATTGACACCCCAAAACAATGAAATGTCCATATTTGAGCTTCAGACTGATATATTATATATATATATGAGAGAGAGAGAGAGATAATAAAAAGACTGAGATAGATATAAAGAGATTTAGATATATGAAGAGACTGAGGTAGATAATGGGAAGACTGAAATAGAGAGATAATGAAAAGTCTGAGATATGTAGATAGATGAAGAGACTGATATACATATATATATGTGTGTGTGTGTGTGTGTGGAGAGAGACAGAGGAGGAGAGAGTGTGGAGGGGGAATGTATAGATATGTTTTACAAAAGGCTTATAGATAGATATGAACAATCTGAGATTGATAATAGAAAGACTGAGACAGACAGAGAGAGATAGATGAAAAGACTGCAATAGATAGATATGAAGAGACTTGGATAGCAAGATAGATAGTTGAAAAGACAGAAATACATAGACCGATAGATAATGAAAAGTCCAAGATAGATAGATAATGGGAAGACTTACATAATGAAAAGTCCAAGATAGATAGGCAGATAGATAATGAAAAGACTGAGATAGATAATGAAAAGACCGAGATAGATAGATTGATAGATAGACAGATAGATAGATGGATCATGAAAAGACTTAGATAGATAGATAGATAGATAGATTTTGAGCAAGATGGGATAAAGAGAGTGAGAGAGCGAGAAGAACAGATTAAGACAGTAAGAAGAAAAACGACTAAAATAGTACACCTTTTTCTTTTATAGTACGCATAAATCACAAAGAGAAACACACACACACACACACGGAAAACTGTGTTACTTTTACGCAGTCTTAATTTTCTTCGTTCAACCTATTTATTTCCAAGCTATCCACATCAGATCATCGTCAGTTCTCTCCAACGATTTAACATCGAACTCACGGAGTGGGGGGAGAGAGAGAAGGGAGGGAGAAAAGACCACATACACACAAAAAACCCAACCCACATAAAAATATGTCATTTAGATTTTTCTATTACCGCACCCCACTTCTCTCCAGGTAGGCATAAAAAGAAAAAAGAAAAAACAAAAAGAAAAAAAAAAAAAAAAAAAAAAACACCCCAAAATAAAAAAAACACACGTTTTCCTTTTTTACTTACAGAGTTGCGTTTACACGCGGCGGCACATACGCACGCACAGAGAATGAGGGGCTTAAAAAAAGGTCACCCAACCCAAGTAGATGGCAAAATAAATTACAACATTTTATATATACGGTACACACGGTTAATTTCAGTAAAACCTTCACAAGTAAGTAACGTTACGTAGTACAAACCTGACAATTCCACATACGTTTTTTTTTTTTTTTTTTAATTTTTTTTAGGATCTCCTTAAAAACTACTATCTAATTATCATCACTGATACAATGAGAGTTTTATTTATTTGGTGTTACTGTTGGGGGTCCCAGCATTGAACATGCACTACTACACTACACAGGTAAAACTAAAAGATTTAAGAAGAAAATGTGGATTTAAAATTGAAATGTGTGCCCTACTCTGTGCATATAAAATTTAATTTATTACAAAGGACACACACACATCGATTATGTCTTTGATTTTAGTTTGCTATGTCCAGTTACGATCTCATTCCAATTATTATTTAAAAAAAAAAAAAATCAAACTGCTAAAAACGGTTTTAAATTCTTCCAATTATGTTTTGTCCGTTGCCTTGAAAATAGTCTCCGAAATCCTGTCATTTTTACCTGGGCTCGAAAACTTGCCCCGATGAGACATACCCACCCAACACATTCAACTTAAAAAATAAAAGTGACCCCACACTAAAGTACGCCAAGGGACAAGAAGGTACTTTACTACTAAGGTTTTTCTCTGACACGTGTCTGCTTTTTAAGTACACACAAAAAAGCCGTGCTTCTAGTTTTTTTTTAAAACGTGTACACAGGAGACAACGAAAAGACACATATTTCTTAATGAACAGTGAAATACTACACACGTGTGTGTTCTTTGTGATATCCATTGCTCGCGGGTAAAAACGTTTTTAGTTGCACTCACACAGACAGTACACAAGAATATAGAAACGAGGGAGAGGACACACCTACGCGTATATAGCGTACACAAGCGACACATGTAAGATGAATGAAAAATTGATACTTCAACGTCGAAACAAATACTCTCTCTCTCTCTCTCTATATATATATATATATATATATATGTGTGTGTGTGTGTGTGTGTGTGTGTGTGCAAGCGGAGTGACGTAACCGAATTTTGAAAGAAAGAACGAGCGAGAATAAAGAAAATAGATTGATTTTCTTCACGAATTTAATTTTTTTCTTTCAAGTTTTAAAAACGCGTAAAAAAAAAAAACTTCAAAAGGATAAAAAGTGAAACAATAAAAAAGAGAGACAGACAGAAAAGCGCCGGATGGAGAGAACGAACGAAAGAAACAGACTGAAAGAAGGAGGAGGAGGAGAAGAAGAAAGGAATGGGAGGAGATAGGAGGGAAGCCACGGTCACAGTGACCTGGAAATGTATATCTATGCTAGCCAAAGGAACTAGTTCTAACAACGTGCGCGCGTGCACACACACACACACACACACTTCCACAAAGATCACAAATAGATACACACAGGTATGTAATCAGATATACACAAACCTATATATATATATATATATATATATATATAAACACAAACATTGAGTGTAATAAGGCCAGTACTTGCTACAGATATTGATTTAATACATAGCAGCACATGGTATGCCGGGGTGATAGAGAGTGTCGGGGAGGAGAGGGGGAAAAAGAGGCAGAAACAGAGGGAGTTAAAGAGGAGAGAGAAAGAGAGAGACTATGAAAATGTTGGAGAAAGTTTAGAAACGCAGACAGACGGGGGGGTAGTTAGGGCACGAACGGAGTTGGGACGCACGGTGCCACATTTAGCAGCAGTAGCAATAATATATATATATATATATATATATATATATATATATATATATATATATATATATATGCGCGTGATGGAGGTATGTAATTTAAGTGGGCTGGTTGGTAGATAGACAGGAGTTCAGTTTGTGTCTACCATCTGTGATGGAAAAAATGTGCCAGGATGCGAAACATTACTAAGAGTAAAACTGGGAAATACGCTTTTCCTACAAAATGTGTGTGTGTATGCATACATTTTCGGTTCGTGTATATATACACACACACACGCATATATATATATCGTGTGTGTGTATGCATACATTTTCAGTTCGTGTATACACACACACACACACACACATATATATGTATATATATCGTGTGTGTGTGTGTGTGTGTGCCTACATTTGTAGTCCGTATGTATGCATGTATGTGTCTATCTGCGCTCCGTGTATTATGTTTGTGGGTGTACATTTCGGATATGTGTGTGTGTGCGCGTTTCAACAAAATAAATTTAAAATATGTCGGATCTAATCGATCTCCTAAATTATTTTGTGTGTGTGCGCATATAAATACATTTGTGGTTTGTTTACGCACACAAACACACACACGTATGTATGCGTGCGGGTCCGATGTGTCTATGCGACTATTATGTGTAGTATGTACGAGGGTGTAGGTTCAGTGAGTATATGCGGTCTGTGTGTGTGCGCGCGCAATGACTACATATGTAGGGATGATTGTTGATGTGTAATTTCATGTGCCCAAGGGGTGGGGTCAGTGTGTGTATATATGTGCATGTGTTGGCCCTGATACATCTCCTGTTCATGTATGTGTGTCGGTCTCTCTCTCTCACACATATATATATATATATATATATATATATATATATATATATCCCGTGCGCAGTGTCTATGCGTACGTATGTAACTGAGCTCGTACGGGTCATATGTTCAGTCCATATATGTGTGTGTGTTCACTCACGCACGCACGTGCGCGCAGTGTTTGTTTCAGCTATGTGTTCTGTGTATGTGGACTGTGTACATTTTGTACATATATGTGTGCGTGATGGGCATTTGTTGCATAGATATCTTTACACGTGTCTATGCAGCATCAAGTACGATAGATGCACGAAAAATCTGGTCCATATAGAGAGGCGCGTTGGTAATTATTAATTGCAATTAATATAATAAATAAACTTGAAATAATTCAGTTAAATTTTAGAATTGCAATTTATAGTTTTGTCACAAATGTTTTGCATGTAAATATTTGTATTCGTTGATTTTTTGCAGGTGTATCTTTACATCGTAAACAGTCTTATTATTTGAAATGTTCGCAGAAATGGACATGTGTCTGATAGAAAGAAAGTTCAGACATTTAATAAATGTCATTGTTCACGGTTTGCAAAAGAAAAGAAAGTAGAAACGTATTGGCTTAGGAAATCTGGTATATAGAGGCTCATGTGTCGGCGAGTCTTTTAATCTCTAGCCGCTCCACTTCCCTCTTAGGTTAAAAGAGTAGCTGGGCGTAGGTTTGTGCCGACGAACTGGCGTTTTTAGTTGACTGACTACGACCTGCTGCAAGATCTAGTCTTTATCTGTCTTTAGGAGACAAACTCTAAGGTTTTCGAATTTACTCAAACCAATATCGTATTTTAGATTGTATTTTTGGCGGCTCATTTGGGTATATATATATATATATATATATATATATATATATATATATACACACACACAAACATTTAGAGCACTATTCTTTACTCGGAGAAACCAGCGGCTATTAAGAAATGGAGATATATAGTGGCGTCTTGACTTGTCTATTTTGTGAATTTCTGGAAAGTGGTCTTTTCATAAACATTTTACCATAAATTTTTCTTATTTTAGATAAATAGATGATTCCCTATTAATACATTCACAAAACAGTTTTCCCTGATCTTGTCAACAAACTTAATAACATCGAACCCACAATAGATTTACGTTTGAATCTGAATCTAACAACAGTTTACCCTTCTTAGCTTTTATGGTACATTGAACTAATAATAAAACCTTCAGTTAAATCTACTAATAAGAATGGCAATTTTTAATCCCACCTGCAACAGAATAAAATGTGTAATAATTATCGGATTCTATTTGAGAGCACTAGGAATATGCAACCCCTAATACTTACCTGACTAAGAAATATACATAGAAAAACACTACAAAAACCACCAATATCCTCTCCCACTTTATTATATATATATATATATATATATATATATATATATATATATATATATATATATATACAAAAAAGTAAAAATTATTCTTTACCGACGCGTTTCATCCTCTGATGGACTTTATCAAGGCAAATTTAAGGGTTTTATTTCGCACAATGTATTTATACACGGAAGTAAAAAAAATAATTGGTTTTCGAATTTAAGAACGCTCATGGGTATTCTTAGGGCTAACTGTGAAAGGCAATGAAAATTATGGAAGATACTAAGTGATGTAATTCAATGTCTAAGAAACGAAAGTTGGTAAATATTGTCATTGTTAGCGTTGAATGTTTCCTTATATATATATATAACGACGAATTATTTATGTATATATATATTTGATTAAATTTTTGATTTAACCGTTTTCTTTTAATTTTAAAAAAAATATGGTGATGTATATTGGCTTGGGAAAGTAGTATATATTTTAGGAAAGGAAATATTTGAAAAAACCCGGGGCGCAATTAACATTTTGGCAAGATTCGATAGCGGCACTCTCAAGAACTTTCCATCTAAATAAGTTATCTTTTAATAAGTGTGGCATTCTTTAGATCGAAGAGGTGGTTGGACTTATTTCTATGTATCACTAGTGCGTTTGATGGATTGTTGTGTGTAAGGTCCTTTTTGTGTTTTTACACACACACACGTGAATCTAACAAAGGCTATAGAAAGATACAACACACACATATGTAACCGTTTATAACTATTTTGAGTATTAAATTTTGAATAATACTACACGAACACATCTTCTTATGTATGGATTAGTTTGAAAAAACATTTTTAACACAAGCTTTTTCCTAAAAATAAGTAATCTATCTGTATATATTTGAGTGCAAAATTGAATATATCTAAAGGAATTAAATTATTTCGAACTGTTGACCAACTAACGCATCCCGAAAAAAAAAAAAAAATCGTGAAAAAGTTTGAAAAGAACTATAATGTTTAGGAGCGTCCAAAATAAACAAACGCGTCTCTTGGAAATAGCACGGCATGAAACAGACTGTTAATGGGTTAAAAAAAAAAAAAATTTAATCCAAAAAAATTATTTTTATATGTATGAAAAAAGCTCTTTCAAAAGATATAAATGTGTGTGTCTAACGCTGGTGTATGTACATTCGTATATATAGGACAAATGATTGATACAAAAATAAAATCTGCCACTTATATATATATTCAGCACCCCGACTCCAGAGTTTCGTAGATGAACTTTTTTGTAGTTGTTCGGTCTACTCGTCAGGAGGTTTCAGCAAATGAATGCCTACTTTTTCAGTTTCGTTGTTTTTATACTAAGTTAAAAAAAATAATTTATGCGCTATTTATTGGTGTTAGGTTCATTTGTGTGTATGCGTGTGTGCGCGCATGTGGATGTGAGTATGTGCCAAATGTCAGTTATTTTTCCTTTTCATCATTTTATTGTCTTACAAGCTCACCGTATTCCTTTTCTTCTTTTAATATATATCAGAGATTAAAACAAAAACATGTTAAAAACGCTACACAATAGCTTTTTTAAAAATTAATTGCTACTCTATTTGTTCTTATCTTTATATATATATATATATATTTATTAAAAATATTTTACATTGCGACAAAGAAATTTCTGTGCTTTCCCAAGCGCTTTCGGCCACTTCTTTAGCCATTTTATATATATATATATATATATATATATATATAAAAAGAAGAGTAAAATTATAGAAAATAAAGCATAATATTTTTTCAAAAAATCCACATTACAAACCAAAAACGTTTGCGGTACCTCTCTTCTTTTTAATATACACACTTTTCTCTCGTTGGAACTACAATAACCTCTTTATTTTATATATATATATATATATATATATATATATATATATATATATAAAAGTGCACATAGAAGTCATATGCAATCGTCAGGCCTGACGATTGCATATGCATGAAACAGACAGGCGCCGATTGCATAGTGTTGACTTCTATGTTCACTTTTTATATTTACACACGCTCTATCTCTGATATCGAGCACTTTATCCTATAAATATAGCACACCGTAAGACTATATTTCTTCATATATATATATATATATATATATATATATATATATATACACACTCACACATGTGCTTGAATGTGTGTTAAATGTCATGGTTATTTCTCCTTTATATCATTTTAATTTTTCCTTATACTCTTTTCCTTCTTTCGGCTCTGACATGTGTTCTATATACGCGAATGTATGTAACTAATTCATTTTTTACGGCTTATCAACCATTTGCAGGTTATTTAAAACCAGAAAATATTTTTATATGGTAAGATTTTTTTTAGATAATAATGGTTTAGTGATACAAGTCTTTCTAATTAACCCATAGGTGGGGGAGGGAAGCGTTGGATTCATACCTCCCCCAAAGGTATTTGCGCGTAAATGAATATAACAAAGTCAACGGGAAATGGAACTCGGCTCTCCAGTCTCCAATTCCGAGCCATTATCCATTACACCACCCGCACATCCAAGCTTACAGCACCTGATATTACCATGCGGTCACCCATCTAGGTACTGATCTGGCTCGGCTTTGCTTAACTTCGGTTATCGTACGGTAACCATTTTTTTAAGGTGATGCGTCCATAAGCCGTGTATGCAAATCACTGTTTAACTGACGAACGTATACAAATATTAAGAAACTATATAGAAACTCAAATTGTTTAACGCATTGGATGCGTGTGTGCAAGTTGACTTGTCTGTTAAGTTAAGCTACAACTATTACTACTGAAATGACTTCAACTCTCACTCAGCGCTCTGAACTTTTAGCCTTATGCCAAACCAAGCTCACTAAATAAATACCTGGGCTACCTCATCATGCAAAAATAGTTAACTCGACAATTAGTGAGAACTTCACAAATGAGGCCTTGTGTCAGGCTAATTAATGCTCAATACCTTTCAGGTCCGCTAAAATAGGCTCAATCATTATTAGGTGCTCCACATATGTACCCTTGTACCAGACAAAGCTAACTTAATACTTTTCCGGGTGTTTAGAAGGAGGTATTACAAGAATAGGTTCAATCTTCACTGGTAGCACCACATCTGTAGCCTTGTACCAGACTTTATGTCTTGTTCTGGGGTATTGGTAAAATAGGTTCAATCTTCACTGGGTGCTCCACATTTGTAACCTTGTACCAGACAAAGCTAACCTTAATAACTTTCAGGTGCTTTGCCCTGGGGTATTGCTAAAATCGGTTCAATCTTCACTCGGTGCTCCACATTTGTAGCCTTGTGCCAGACTAAGCTAAGCTTTTAATACCTTTCGGGTGCTTTCCACCGGGATATTGCTTGAATAGGTTCAATCTTCACTGGGTGCTCCACATTTGTAGCCTCATGCCAGACTAAGCTAAGCTTAGTAATATGCGTGTGTATGAAAGAGAAAACTGCTACCACGCAGTTGTATGTCACACCTACATACATCCAGTCATACGATGTATATGCGCTCGCGTGTGTGGGTGGATGGCATTTCAAAGAGGAAGTATACATACGTATCTTTGGTTACCTATATGTAGCTACGACAAAGGGCGTCTTAATAGACGTAAAGTGCTTAAGTCTAAGACATGCTTCGTTTGTATGTGTGCAACAAGACACGGAGATATTGTACACGTGGTACAATAATCAACAATGAAAACACACACACACACACACACACACACACACACACACACAAATACAGCTCTGCATTCAGGTTGAAATTACCATAATGAAATAATCACGTCTACTCTGTATGACTAGAAAATAAGTTTGGCACAAGGCCATGCGTATGTGGTACCCAATTCGGTCTTTACATTTAAAAGCAATGTAGTAATTGTTTATAAAACGTTCGATATTTCCTGACATTTTTTTATTTTATTTTTGTTAATTTTTTTAATGCCATATCACTTTGGGACGTGGGCGTTCATGGCTCTCCACTAGATCTTTTTCTTTATTATCTGCAAAATACTATCACGTATTAGGAAAGGTTGTTGCATTCTCCACGGTTTTTTTTAAATTTTGAGTTATTTTTCTCCTAGATTGCCTGCCTGCCTGCCTGCCTGCCTGCCATGGCTAGATAGCTCAGTCTACCCTGCTATTTAACCCATAGCTGGATGAAAATTGGTTTGTGTATTTCCCAGAATCATTAACACGAAAGTGAACACCACAGAATAAGCAGGAATTTGAACTCTTATTGCGGATTCAACTTTCCCACTAATTCTATCCAGTGTTAGGCATGCCATTGAATAAGCTGAGCTTAACTTGGTACAAGATCACAAATATAGGGTACCCTATGAGGATTGAACGGGCAACGCAGGAATAATTTCTGGTGAGGATAACTTACTAACAATTATTTCATAGTGAACCAGTCACGTTTGCCAATTGAGCATATTTTTATGTGTGCATATGTGTATATCATAAGCTGATACTTGTGTGTGTCTGTCTTCCTCTGAAAAAGAAAGAGAGAAGAAGACTGATGTACATGTAAGCGTCTTCATACTTGTGTGTGTGTGTGTGTGTGTGATGACCAGTGGGTGTGGTATGTTTTATGAGTGGGTTAATGATGCTAATTTCCATGAGAGTGACTTATTGTGCCTTCTCAGGCTGACACGAAGTGGAAAGATTATATTGAATCCATTGATAAATCTGCTGCTAAGAAAGTTGGTTCACCGTGTCATTCTAGACACTTTTTCTCTCCAGAATCTATCTTACATATTTATAAGTCTAGCATTTGCCCATGCTTAAAATATTACCACCACATATGGTCCAGTGTTTCTGCTATATATTTAGAGATTCTTGATAAAATCCAAAGGAGACTCAGCAATGTTATTGATCCTGACCTGGTGTCTCAGCTTGACTCACTTCCCCACCAGCATAAAGTTGCTTCCCTGTGCCTTTTCTATGAATACTTTCATGGTAATTGTTCAAATGAGCTCTTCACGATGGTACATTTGTAAATATTCATTGGCATTTAGATTTTAAAAAAAATCTTATTTTATTCCCTTCCCCCCTCACAGACAATGAAATTGTACATATGGGGACTAGTTACAACTTTTATAGAGACAATGAGGTATTATGGTGGATGTAGTAAGTAAGAATGCATTGTTTTGGTGGAAGGAATATTGTGGTATATTTCAGTCAGTGATTATGGCTAGTTACGTTTAATGTTAAGACACAAGAAGACTTTCCCCCAATCCCTATTTTGGCCTTGTGCCACATTTTGTAAATTTTACAAATAAATAAGGCTCTTCACTATGGTACCTAGACTTTATGAATTTGATCAAAGTACTAGATTGGCAATAAGGATTCATCAATTTACAGTTGAATTGGCTAGATGTAACCATAATTGTTAACAATTTTTTTCTCACACTTCTCCCTTGTGGAACGCTTCTGGCTCCATGTTTTTCTATTCTATTGTTGCCGCTCCCTAGTAATATTTTCTGTTTTCTAATTCTTTCACATGTCTTGTATCTTGGTGTCTTTAGTGCCTTGCTTGGGGTAAAGTTGATTAAAAAAAAAAGAGAGAAGAAAAGCTAAACAATAATCAGCCAACTTGATATGATTTCATTTGAAATTGAGAAAGCAAGATTTTGTTTTGGTTCAAAATGATTCCATTTTTCGATTAGGTTCTGATAAGTGAGGAGAAACAACCAGGTAACTGCCAATATACCTTTCTGATCTTTTGTATTAAATGTCAGTCTCTTTTTTTCTTCTCTTTTAACTTCTTCTATATGCCATGTCACTTCAGGACATAGGTGATCATGGCTCTCCACAATTTCCTGTCATATGTAGCTTTTAATAAATTTTGACTCTCCTAAGCCTTATTCTGCCATCCATTTACTCAAGGTCACTAAGTAGATTATGGATTGTTTTCCTCTGTCCCCTTGCCTTCAACCTGTCCTGTGAGTATCAAATTTTCCAAGCCTTCTTCACTCATAATGTGCCCTAGAAATTTCAACTATCTCTTCCTGATTTTAAGTATAAGTTTGCTTTTTATTTCCATTTTCTCTAAAGCTTCATTACTGCTCACATGTTCAGTCCATGGTATTCTCAGCATTCTTCTGTAGAACTACATTTCTGTTGTTTGAAGTCTTTTCTTCATCTGTGAGGAGACTGTCCAACATTAACTGCCATATAAGAGGGCTGATATTACATAACAGTTTAGCACTCTTTTCTTTGTTTCTAAAAAAATTTGTCTGCTTATATATTGCTTAACTTTTGGAAGGCACTTTCACTATCCCAACGTGCTTTCAGATTTCTGTGTTGCACTTTGTCGTTGCTAACATGTTTGGTGTATGATTGTTTTCCTTTATCCCTCTTGCCTTCCATCTGTCCTGTGAGCATCAAATTTTCCAAGCCCTCTCTCCTCATTATGTGACCTAGAAATTTCAACTATATCGACCTGATATTTAGTGTAAGTTTTTTTTTTGTTTCCATTTTCTCTAAAACTTTGTCATTCACATATTCGATTCATGTTATTCTCAGCATCCTTCTGTAGAACCACATTTTACATATTTTAAATAGGTTTGTGTTATTCACCATTATTATTTTATTTCTTCCCTTAGCTATGTTTATTCATTTAGTGCAAAAAGAAATAAAGAAAGACATCAAACCAAAGGACATTCAATTATTTACCCAAGTTCAAACTCTTAAAATAACTCCCAAGATGGTCATTCATGAAATCTTTGAGGTGGGATGCAAATGAACTGAAGATGAGGCAGATATAAGAAAACAATGCTTACAAAAGGGATAAAAAAATAAACATAGACACCCACTTTGGGATCTTTCTTGACAACTGAATTCATTGACATTTAGGGCAAAAGTAATGTAAAAAAAAAATAGTGTTAAGGGGAGCTTTAAAATAATGATTCTTTTAAAATTCTCATTCATTTTAAAAACAAGACAAGGTTTTTTTTCTCAATTTCTTATAAACTACAAAAGAAACATATGGCCAAGTGGATTAAGCCATTGTTTAAGACATATCAGGGAGTTCAATCCTAGGTTCTGCTAGAGCTATAAAATCACTTTGGCTTAGTGGAAGAAACGAACAAGCAACACAGAGGTGAATATAAAGTGATAAAAGTTATCACCCAAGCTTAAAAAAGGGGAAGAGTCTACCCCCATGGATTTGTTTTTTTTTTTTTTTTACAGTAAGGTTCATCCTGTAAAAGGGCCCAGAGGCCACTCTAAGTAGAGGGAAACATTAGGGGGCAGTTTATACAGATAGGAGCAGAAGATAACGGTTAACTCAAGACTTGAACAAGTTAAGATTGTAGTGATCAGGGAAACAACCTCTTGGGAGTCTGTTTCACAAAGCAGTGGTTTACAGGATGAAGCTGTTTGAGTGGAACTTACTACTCACCAATGGAATATGTAGGTAATGTGGGTAGCTTGCTACAATGTAAATGGCATGGTGGAGCCTAGTCATGAAGGTCGGATCCTGGCAAAACCAAGGAATGTAGTTCATCTAAGTACGTTCCATGGAAGTAGTAATAGATTAGTGAGAGACTTGCCACATCCCACCTGTGACCAGAGTGGTTCAAGGGTGGAAAATAATTCATCACTCACAAGGACTCAGAGATGCTTTTG